TCCCGCCATTGGACCCCAAACGACCCCAAATTACCCCAAATTGTCCTAAATGGCCCCAAATTGCCCCAAATGACCCCAAAGTGTCCCAAATGGCCCCCGATGTCTGAGGGGTGACACTCCCGGTTCCGGGGGTCCGCGGGGATTTGGGCTGAGGAGGGTCCCGTGGTCACTCCGAGTGTTTTGTGGTCACTCCGAGGGTCCCGTGGTCACTCTGGGGGTCCCGTGGTCACTCTGGGGGTCCCGTGGTCATTCTGAGAGTCCCGTGGTCACTCTGGGGGTCCCGTGGTCATTCTGAGGGTCCCGTGGTCACTCTGGGGGTCCTGTGGTCACTCTGAGGGTCCCGTGGTCACTCTGAGGGTCCTGTGGTCACTCTGGGGGTTCTGTGGTCACTCTGAGGGTCCTGTGGTCACTCCAGGGGTCCCGTGGTCACTCTGAGAGTCTCGTGGTCACTCTGAGAGTCTCGTGGTCACTCTGGGGGTTCTGTGGTCACTCTGAGGGTCCCGTGGTCACTCTGAGGGTTCTGTGGTCACTCCAGAAGTTTTGTGGTCACTGTGGTGATCCTGTGGTCACTCTGGGGGGTCACCCCTCAATGCCACCCTCTCAGTGACTGTCCCCACTGTCCCCTCAGTGTCCTGGAAGGTGAAGTCCCCCAGCCTGGGGGTGCTGTTGCTGCACAGGGGTCTGGGTTCAGAGGATCCTGTGGTCACTCTGGTGATTCTGTGGTCACTCTGGGGTGTCACCCCACACTCTGACCGTGTCCCCACTGTCCTCTCAGTGTCCCGGAAGGTGAAGTCCCCCAGCCTGGGTGTGCTGGGGCTGCAGAGGGGTCTGGGAATCAGGTGTTCCTGTGGTCACTCTGGTGATCCTGTGGTCACTCTGGGGTTATTGTGGTCACTCTGGGGGTCCCAGGAGGGGTCACCCATGATGCCACCCTCTCAGTGACTGTCCCCACTGTCCCCTCAGTGTCCCGGAAGGTGAAATCCCCATCCCAGGGCTGCTGGGGCTGCACAGGGGTCTGGGCTGGGACGGTCCTGTGGTCACTCTGGTGATCCTGTGGTGGTTCTGTGGTCACTCTGGTGGTTCTGTGGTCACTCTGAGGGGTCACCCCGCAATGCCACCCCCCCGGTGACTGTCCCCACTGTCCCCTCAGTGTCCCGGAAGGTGAAGTCCCCCAGCCTGGGTGTGCTGGTGCTGCACAGGGGTCTGGGATCAGTGGGTCCTGTGGTCACTCTGGTGATCCTGTGGTCACTCTGGGGTTATTGTGGTCACTCTGAGGGGTCACCCCGCAATGCCACCCTCTCAGTGACTGTCCCCACTGTCCCCTCAGTGTCACGGAAGGTGAAGTACGCCAGCCTGGGCGTGCTGGTGCTCCAGAACGCCTCTCTGGTGCTCAGCATCCGCTACGTCCGCACCCTGCCCGGGGAGCGCTTCCTGCCCACCACGGCCGTGGTGATGGCCGAGGCCATGAAGGGCAGCGCCTGCCTGCTCCTGCTGCTCATCCAGCACCGAGGTGACATCCTGGGGACAT